CCTACTTATTAATACTTAAAATCGTTGTTCCAAAATTTTGAACCCATAAAATTGAAATTCTGATTTCCCCTCTACTAGAACAGTCTATATATAGCAAGAATTGAAGTTAGTAATTTGTTACCGTTGATAAATTATAAGATAATATTAAAAAATTACGTTATCATTTAATTCTACAAAATCCACCAACTTTTAAGAGCAATATTATGTGGGCATTTGGACATAAGAATTGTAAAATTCCAGAAAAAATGGAAAAAAAATTCAAGTGAAAATAGTATTTGAAATTAGACTTGTGTTGGGACATGAATATAATTTTGGGCTGTTTTTTAATTTTTGTGAGTGACCTAAAGTGCAAATTTTGAAAAAATAGCTTTTTAGAATTTTCCAAATTTTCAAAAATTTTCGAAATTTATCTTCAAGTAAAAATCGAAAATTTTATGGTCAAAACACTAATTTCGAGAAAAGTAAAAAAAATCGAAAAAAGAAAAAAACAGATGGCCAAACGGGCCATATAACTGTATCTTAGTTACCAATAAGGGGTAGAAATTTTGGATTTGAGCTCTGCTTATAAAATCGTTTTTATTAGAGAATACATTAACTTTCACTATAAAAAAAATTTGTCGTAAATTCGGATTAGTTAGATCCACAAATATCGGACATACTGTGTCTAAATTATGATCTTAGGGTGGCATTTCCAAACAATGAGCAATCGTCACATCAATATTATTCTTGTAAAAAGCAAATTAGCACAAGAAACTAGGGTTGTGCATAATTTGGTAAATACCGAATTACCATGTCGAAACCGAAAATTTTGGTATTTGGTATGGTATTTGGTTTAAGTTTTTAAAAAAATTGATATTAGGTATGGTATTTAGTATTTTAAAATAAAATACCAAAATACCGATACCGTACCGAAATATATATTATATTACATAAAACACATATTATCAATTATAACATAAATATAAAAAATCTAAAATTTTAGTTTTCTTTATTCTCTAAGTTCATCAATTAACTCTAACCAAGTAACGATATTTTTAATGATCAAATATTCTTTTATGTACAATCTTCTCTATTTGGGTCGATATTTGCTAGTTTAGGACAAAAATTTTGTCAACAAACATTTTTAGTTTTATATTTTTGAGTATTTTAATTAAGAATATTCGAGTCTATGGCTCTATGCACTAGTTAGTATTCAAACCGAATAAACCGAAACCGAAAGGAGAAAAACCGAATCATACCGAATTTAATTAGGTACGGTATTGGTATAGGATTTTAAGAAATCAAATACCGAAAATACCGAACCGAAATATCTAAATATCATACCGTACCGACCGACGAACACCCCTGCAAGAAGCAATCAAATGCTAAGAATAAAAAGGCTCTTTAATTTTCGAGTCACCAAAATCCTTCCAACGTGTGGAGATTCCATTAATTAGCAAAGCTATTAATTACTCCCTTGTAGTCTTCCTAATTTCTATTTATGGACCCTAGGTTTTTGCAAATTTAACAAAAATATATTTAAAATTTTCGAGTTAATTTCACATATGTGGAATAATTTTACTTACTACAGCAATAAAGTCACATTACTATTTTTTGTCAGATTAAAATAATTTAATTATGTGTGAGTTGTTTAAAAACACAAATGATTTACAAGTCAAATATGCAGCGACAACCGACAAGATGTTTCATTTATTTTTCTATTGTCTTTTCTTTTATAAAATATAGGTAATAAAAAAACACGATAAATTATTTTCTTTCTTTTTCTTGCGCCAGAAATTCGACTTCTGATTATTGTATTTTCTGAATGATTCACACATAATTCAATTATTTTAAATAATCATATATTAAATTGCATATTTTTCTTTCTGTGAAAAATTAATAACCTAATTCTGCAATTATATGCAAAAATCGTAAAGCTCTGATAATAATAAGTGTAATTCTAATCTAACGTTGTCGCCTGAAATAGAATTCCCCTACTTAATTAAACTTCCTTTTCCATTACTTTCTAATGCAATGATAGAGAAAGAATATATTTATCTTAAATCTTTTTCTGTTTTGCATCCTTTTCAGGTTATAATATTTACAACTTCCAAATATTCGACCTTGATATATATATAGCAACTTGTTATGATGAGATGCTTTAGAAACTTTCTTGTACCAAATGAAGTACAAAATACGTCCATTTCTTATCACTTTTCAAACCCTATATAGTCTATGGTCACAAAATTCTTCTAACTTTCATATAAGCCATCAGATAACCATTTTTTCATAACTTAAAAATGCTAAGCTTTTCCATGATGTGCTAGTTGAGACAGAGGCGGAATCAGAATTTGAAGTTTGTGGGTTCGGATTCTAATTCGTTTATGTTATTGGATTCTAAATTAACAATTTATATATATATATGCAATGAATTTTTTTTAAGACAAATACAAACTTTAGACCAAAGTTTCTGGGTTCGGCCAGGTTTGCCGAACCCACAAGTACTATATTCTTTTGTGTGACGGGGACCTTATATCCCAGTGCTTTTGAGCTTGTAACTAGCAATATTCTTATCTTAGGTAATGTCAAGGAAAGTTTGAGACTTATTATAGGTATATTAATAACAACTAAACTTGCCTTTTCAAGTCTGAGATTAGACATTATATACTTTTGACCTTTCCTTTTTGTTATGGCTGCTAATGAAGATCCAATTGCCACTATTTTTAGTTTAAGTAGTTGGATGGACGGCTATTTAGATTAATTTTTCGTAGTATTTATACACTACTACTACTAGAGTTCAATCAGTTACAAAAACTTGCTTGGCTTATTTTTTATGTTACTAATTCCACTTATGATAAGTAATTACTTATAATTATATTTTAAATGATAGCTTGAGCGCATGGGTAGAGCCAGGTCAAGGGCGGAAAGGGACTAACTCCTTCGCCGGAAAATTACACAATATATATTAAGTCAAAATTATTTTATATATATATATATATAGTAAATGTAGAATTCACTTAATTTCTTCGTATGTTTTTTTTTAACCACCTTACTAAAATTCCTGACTCCGCCACTACTTGACGGTATAACAACTTTTACTTCCTCTGTAGAAGTTAAACTCCCAACTAAATATATGGGATTCATCAACATCTTAATTTTTTTTTTCCAACATCGTTAAGTGTCAGTGATTCTTGGACATTTTTAAATTGATTTATCTTTGCAATTATTAGAATACATACATGAGGCAGTTAATTTGTTTCATAATTTTCTTCTCTGTTTGCAAAGCTCTAATTATTTTTGGAAAAGGCTTCATTTTTCTAGTAAAACTTAGGTCCCTACAACTTTCGAAAACCAATATTAACTTGTAGAGTTTCCATTACGCAGGTCATTATCTGTCCCTATTTCTTCCTTTTTCAAACCCTATGGTCTATGGTCACAAAGTTCTTCTAGCCATTTCCAACTTGTAGAGAAGCCATTCAATCACCACCTTTCTATTTTCCTTAAGAACCTTTTCTAATATGCTAGTGTTGTCTTTTAAATTGTGGACTATTCCTCCATAAGATGTCTCGAGCTTGAGTCCCGAAAATAGAAAACTTCTCGGTCGAAAATATTTTATTCTTTAGTTTGTCTATCTCTTTACTGGGTTGTTGTTGTTGTTGTGTTGTAGTTGGTCTATCCCGCTCCTCTCGATCCGAGGGTCATTCGGAAACAGCCTCTCTACCTTCATAAGTTAGGGGTAATGTCCGTACACCTTATCTTTTCCAGACCCCACTTGTGGAATTTCACTAAGTTTGTTGTGGTTGTAGTTGGTCAATCACGCACAAATCTAATTTAATCGAGCTAGTATGTATCAAATAGCGATGCCGAAAAGGGAAAAAAAATGCTTGTGGAATCTTGTTTTAAGCTGTGCTCGGGGCTGATATTTTCATTCTCGAGAATTTTGAACTAACTCCAAGTTGATAAAAAGAGAACAGTCCTCTCAATAGGCATTAATCAATCTAAGCAGTGTTTTCTTTGTGTAACAGCGACTTTTTTAAGTACATATTCGGATAACAAAGAAATGCAAAGGAGACAAGGACTACTTGACTGCGTATAGTTTTCACAAAACAAACTATCATTTTCAATTGATACTTTGGAATAGAAACTCTACTTTGAAGATTGTGTTCTTATCTAGGCGATGCCAAATCATTGACACTGCAATCCAGATTCAGTAGCAACGAGTTTATTTTTCTTTTAGTTTTGGCTATGCTATCCGAGCATTTGTCAGCCCGATGCATAAAACATCCCAGATTTACACAGGATTCGGGGAAGGACCGCACCCCAAGGGGTATGATGTAGACAGCCTACCTAATGCAAGCATTAGTGGCTGCTTCCACGGCTCGAACCCGTAACCTATAGGTCACACGGAGACGACTTTAGCAAAAAAATAAAAATAAATGATGCAATTACAATTAATGCATTTTGCTGTACTTTTTTTCTTTACAGTAAAACAGGACTTGTAGCGCAGATTAATACGGAAAATATCAACATACAGGTAAGATAAGCAGGCCTTCGTATTTCAATGGTATTCGCACCTCGACATTAATTTTAAAGCTGAGGCTGAAAGAAGAAAATTAGTCATACTCTGTATATGTACAGGTTTAATTAATTTAACACTACAACAAGTACTTAGGTTTGTGTTTTATTTTTCTTTCCTAGATCATGACTTCCTGCTATAAATTTTATTAGTATTCCAAATTTGTTCTTTCACATTTTTAGGAACCATATCGTGATGTATGTGAGTGTATACACATACATATATACATACATACATACATACATACATACATATCAGTATGAAACAAAAAATTCAATAAATTGTGTTTCATAGACGACAACAACAACAGCAACAACACAGGATAATCCCACCAGTGGGGTCTGGAGAGAGTAGTGTGTACGCAGACCTTACCTCTACCCTGGGGTAGAGAGACAAATTGTGTTTCATAGACGATACCCTCAAAATTGGTGAAGCACTAGCGAGGCAAGTTGAATCCTAGAACTTTAACAACTAACGATAAAAATGAATCTGTGAAGAAATACACCTCTCAAACCTGAAGATATACAGCTTGATGTTAATACGAGAACGTAAGAACTCTAGCATGTAAATTATGCTCCTACAATTGTTTATTGGCCAACATATCCATTGGCACGGCTACTTCCAAAAAAAAACTGCAGAAGAAATGCTCAATAACAACGATCAGAAAAAAAAAAAAAAAAAAAAAAAAGTGCAGTCCGGAGCACTATGCTCCCGTTATGTGCGGGATCCGGGGAAGGGCCGGACCACAAGGGTCTATTGTACGCAGCCTTACCTTGCATTTATGCAAGATGCTGTTTCCATGACTCGAGAAACATCCTCTAACCCGTGACCTCCTGGTCACATGGCAACAACTTTACCGGTTACACCAAGGCTCTTATTTGACCAGATAAAGCAGAATTGAAATAAAGGATTCGTTTGACCACCCCCTACAAGTTTGAGATTAAAGTGAAATTGATAAGCATTCGCTTTAAATTTGAAAACAGAATCTATGATCATTACGGCTAGAATCAAAAATATAATCTAAGAAATAACCAAATAAAGAGTGGTTTTTGAATTTAATTTTATAAATATTTGTATGTTTGTCTCATTCATATCAATGTCTCATGTACCTACCCTTCTTCCCAAGTACTAAACAAGCAGTTGCCTGGTTACTTGGTGAACGGGTACACGAATAGATAACAAGTAAAGGGAGAAGGTATATCCGAAAACCTCATGGATGAATCAACCAAAGCGTTTTTTGAATAACTGATGTCTCTTGGCTGGATCTTTAGGCTTGCTTTTAATAAGGCCTCCCTGCTTCTTTCCAGTGCTGCATTGCACATACAGGTATTTGTTAGTGTCAAGAATTTCACTTTCTATACTGAAATTTGCATTTCATAATCTGCATTTGTAGCAAATCTCCAACTCTCACTAACCAATATGGCAAAAACGTGTAAATAAAGCATCCATTCAAGTGAAAAACAAAAACCATACTTGTATTCCATATAAACCATCCCTTTTGCTCCTGACATGGCACTCATAGAACCCACGTAGCGACGGGCTTTTTGAAGAGCTATATCATCTGCATCTTCGTCTAGCTGCTCCAAGCCGACCGCATCATCGCCAGCATTCAATACCTATAGGTGAAGGTAAAGAGCACGTGAGTTGGCAACATCTTGAAGTAAAGTACGGAAAGAAAAAACTCTTTACTTGATGTGTAGGGGAAAAAAAGAGTAGAACCACCTTTCCAAGAAGTTGAAGCTGGTCATCAAGACGGTGATAGCTTAACTCAGGCCCAGAATCAGGAGGTGGCAAGCTTGTGATCACCTAATACAAGAACAGGTCAGAAGAGCCACTACGAACGATCACTGTATCCAGATGAAAAAGTAGAACAACACGTATGCCATCAATGGCTTTACCAAGAGGCAATACCTTAAAGCTATAACCTTGATCAATCAAGAATTGCTGCCTTTTGGTTGAGTAGTACATTTCCTGCATTTGAACATTGCTAATAAGGTCATACTACAAAAATTGTCATTACCAAATAGAGTATAAGAAGATATCATACATCAACAGAAACTAGCAAACAGGAAAGGATTCTGCACCTGGGTATCTGTTGACACAAGGGAGTAAAAGAACGCATTATACTCCTCTTTACCTCCTGCCACCCTATCTTGATGGCGCCCCTGTCAACCCAACAATGAATTAAAGACTGGTTGATTGGAAACATCAGTCGCGAAGGCAGAAGGGCCCCCCTCGTAAAAAGTAAGGTGATAATAAATAATATGATGTCGTTACTGTATTTTTTTAATTGTTCACTTCTTTAATGTCGACATTGCTTACGAAAATTCCTGAAAAAAACATGAAGACGACTACCATCTTTTGGTCAAATACATAGGGAACGCGATGATAACCTTGTTATTTGTACAAAGGATACCTGGAGCATGACTCACTAGAGAGATTTTATCAGATATCATACTTTTAGTATTTGAAATAAGAATCAAAAGAGGCAATTCGGAACGAGAAAACAGACAAACCTTGGCCCTGAGAATACGCCCTAGACGTTGAGCTTCTTGTCGTCTTGAACCAGCATGTGACGAAATTTGAATTATAACATTCGCCTCAGGAATATCAATGGAGTTATCACCGACCTGTAAATAAAAGCAGAAATCACATCATATTCGCAAAAGAAGAACTTGGAATGTAACATTTTTTGTTAGAAGGTTAAGAATAACTTCGAATATAACACTTATGAATAGGTCGCAAGAGACTATGTTTTTAACTGAAAACAAGCAAAATGCAACTGAAATATGGCATTACAAATTTGAGATTCATGGTTCTGCACAAGTAAAGATGCAAACGTCTACAGATCTTGAAGGATAAACACAGATATGCATATAACATATATATGCACACGCACGCACACATGCATGTGTAAGAACGATTGCAAGCAATATTTGGTCCCAAGTCCATAATCAAGCCATTATCATCAAATCAAGTAGTCACAAATAATTTTGACACTGGCACAACTGGTGATATAAAAATCTGCTTGAATACAATACCTTGGATAGGAATACGGTGTTAACTTCCTTGCTTGTTTTAAATGCCTCAAGAATTTTTGTTCTTTCAACATGGCTGCATAACAAGATAAATTGCCCATTAAGACATCTTAAATGACGAAACAACAAAAAGGCATCTAAAATAGTGAAACAATAAATCTTTGATATGACATCTTGTGTAAACCTGGTAGCACCATAAATCATAGGTTTGCGAAGCTTCATCGCATACTCTGTAAGTGCAAAAAGATTGTCCGCAAATACAATTATCTTGTCCCCACGCTGCTGCTCATGAAAACGGATAAGAAACTCGCAAGCCCTGAACTTGTTTGGGTTCATCACATAAAGTGCCTGGAACATCACATGGTTATAAGTGTTAAAGAAAGAATAGTAACAATATGCCAAAAGGAAGGGGGGTGAACTCAAGAATATTACTGAAAAAGTGTCTTACAGAAGTCAAACAAACATGATTTTACAAAAGAGAAATTATGAATGATAAAACCATGGGGTGAACTCAAGAATATTACTGAAAAATTGTCTTACAGAAGTCAGACAAACATGATTTTACAAAAGAGAAATTATGAATGATAAAACCATCATATCACAATATCCATGTATGGAACATATTAGTAGCTGGAAATTGCAAGTCCCATTACACTCGGATTTCAAATCAAGACGTTGGTAGTTCAAGTCATCACAAGAGCAAACTGGAAAAGGACCATAGTTGCCTCCTGAGCAGGGGGTTTTGAGGGTGGGCTTTACCAAATGGGAAAAAATGCTGGTGAGTAATTACAGCAGTTACCTGGTTCGAATCTATTACTTCTGAAACTTGTCCCTACAGAGCAGCCATTCAATCTCTAATGTAACTCAGGAGACTTGTCTCTTTGGAGTACAACACCGAAATCTCTCATATAATTCACCTAACTAGGAAAAACAGAAATAGAAACCGCCAAATTTGGGTTTTAACAATATGGGCAATACAAGAAGTCAGGAGAGGATAGAACAAGAAGAAAATTTTGGTGCTCATTCATCTTTTAGGCTCCTGCCAGTCAAGGTCATTTCATCGTTTTTATTCACAGAATTTTAGACAGAACAATGTCATTCTGTCAGGACTAATTCGTCATACTTCACAGATTTTCACAATCACATAAATAGTGAAATTATGATGTTTTCTCAGCTGTAAGATCTCTCATTACACTGTCCCACCAGTTGATATCCATTTCAACAGACCTGTCACACGAACAAATGCCAAAATCTACTATGTTCTAAGGTCCAAACTGTGCTCGTCAATGAGATGAATGAATATAAATAAAATAAGAGCCATATGTAAAGTCATCAAACATTGATTTCTAAGCATTAAGCATGGAACAGTTTCAACAAAAACATACTTGCCGCTTCTTTGAATTTTCTTTTTTCAGATATTCAGCAAAGAACTCCTTAGTCATTGGACACCACACCTCAGCACATTGCACATTTGCAATAAATCCTCCTTTCACTAAATCCAACCAATTTGCTTCATACAACTTTGGACCAATAAGAAAGTTCAAATCTGTAATTCTCTCGTCTTCTCTGACAAGCGTAGCTGTTAAGTAAGCCAATAAGTTCATTAGAGTTTGTGAGATACCAAAGAAAGTTATCATTGCAATTTGCAAGAACTCTCTTTTTGAAAAACGTACCTGTAAGCCCAAGTTTGCAGTGTGATTTCGTGATACTAATGACCTTTCGAAACATATGTGCAGGAACCACATGCACCTACATTAATACCAAGAATCAACAACAACAACAACAACAACCACCACCCAGTAAAATCCCACTAGTGGGGTCTAGGGAGGGTAGTGTGTACGCAGACCCTACCCCTACCCCGAAGGAGTAGAGAGGCTGTTTCCGAAAGAAAACAAAGAATCAAACACCTATATTTATGCAATTATAAATTCAAATTTACCTTTAATATCTATCCACAGTTAAAGGGAAATTTGTTAAACAATTTTGTGACATGCATTTCCCACAAGATACTAGTACTGACCCATAGCATGAACATTCAAATATAACAGAGAGTGAGAATATATATCTGGAACATTCAAATAAATGCAGATATATCACATTAGAATAAAACAGTGTTGACATATCAGCAATTACTATTTAGTTCCAAATAAAAGAAAATAGTGAGACGATATTGTCCATAACTTATAGGTAAGAACTGAGTACAAGAGTGACACGGAAATGGGAAACTAACCCAACAAATACTAAATTGCTAATCACTTCTGTGAATATACCACCCCACCCC